TTTTGTCAAAAGCCTTCTCTGCATCAATTGAGATAATCATGTGGTTTTTGTCTTTGGTTCTGTTTATGTGGTGAATTATGTTTATGGACTTGCGTATGTTGAACCAGCCTTGCATCCCTGGGATGAATCCTACTTGATCATGGTGGATGAGCTTTTTGATATGCTGTTGCAATCGGTTTGCCAGTATTTTATTGAAGATTTTTGCATCTATGTTCATCATGGATATTGGCCTGAAATTTTCTTTTCTTGTTGAGTCTCTGCCGGGTTTTGGTATCAGGATGATGTTTGTCTCGTAAAATGATTTGGGAAGGATTCCCTCTTTTTGGATTGTCTGGAATAGTTTCAGAAGGAATGGTATCAGCTCCTCTTTGTATGTCTGGTAGAATTCAGCTGTGAACCCATCTGGACCTGGGCTTTTTTTGGGTGGTAGGCTCTTTATTGCTGCCTCGACTTCAGACCATGTTATTGGTCTATTCAGGGTTTCGGCTTCTTCCAGGTTTAGGCTTGGGAGGATGCAGGTGTCCAGGAATTTATCCATTTCTTCCAGGTTTACTAGTTTATGTGCATAGAGTTGTTTGTAATAATCTCTGATGATGGTTTGGATTTCTGTGGAATCTGTGGTGATATCCCCTTTATCGTTTTTTATTGCATCAATTTGGTTATTCTCTCTTTTCTTTTTTATTAATCTGGCTAGTGGTCTGTCTATTTTGTTGATCTTTTCAAAAAACCAGCTCCTGGATTTATTGATTTTTTGAAGAGTTTTTTGTGTCTCTATTTCCTTCAGTTCTGCTCTGATCTTAGTTATTTCCTGTCTTCTGCTAGGTTTTGAGTTTTTTTGATCTTGCTCCTCTAGCTCTTTCAATTTTGATGATAGGGTGTCAATTTTTGATCTCTCTTTTCTTCTCATGTGGGCACTCATTGCTATATATTTTCCTCTAGAGACTGCTTTAAATGTGTCCCAGAGATTCTGGTATGTTGTGTCTTCGTTCTCATTGGTTTCGAAGAACATCTTTATTTCTACCTTCATTTCATTGTTTATCCAGTCAACATTCAAGAGCAAGTTGTTCAGTTTCCATGAAGCTGTGCGGTTCTGAGTTAGTTTCTGCATTCTGAGTTCTAACTCGATTGCACTGTGGTCTGAGAGACTGTTTGTTATGATTTCTGTTCTTTTGCATTTGCTGAAGTGATTTATTGCCAATTATGTGGTCAATTTTAGAGTAGGTGTGATGTGGTGCTGAGAAGAATGTATATTCTGTGGATTTGGGGTGGAGAGTTCTGTAAATGTCTATTAAGTTTGCTTGTTCCAGGTCTGTATTCAGGTCCTGGATATCCTTGTTGATTTTCTGTCTGGTTGATCTGTCTAATATTGACAATGGGGTGTTAAAGTCTCCCACTATTATTGTGTGGGAGTCTAAGTCTCTTTGTAAGTCATTAAGAACTTGCCTTATGTATCTGGGTGCTCCTGTATTGGGTGCGTATATATTTAGGATCGTTAGCTCTTCTTGTTGCAGTGATCCTTTTACCATTATGTAATGTCCTTCTTTGTCTCTTTTGATCTTTGTTGCTTTAAAGTCTATTGTATCAGAGATGAGAATTGCAACTCCTGCCTTTTTTTGCTCTCCATTTGCTTGGTAGATCTTCCTCCATCTCTTTATTTTGAGCCTTTGTGTATCCTTGCATGTAAGATGGGTTTCCTGGATACAGCACACTGATGGGTTTTGGCTTTTTATCCAATTTGCCAGTCTGTGTCTTTTGATTGGGGCATTTAGTCCATTGACATTTAGGGATAGTATTGTTATGTGTGAATTTGATACTGTCATTTTGATGCTACCTGGCTGTTTTGTTGGTCAGTTGATGCAGATTCTTGATTGTGTTGATGCTCTTTTACCATTTGGTGTGTTTTTGGTGTGGCTGGTACTGGTTGTTCCTTTATATGTGTAGAGCCTCTTTCAGGAGTTCTTGTAGAGCAGGTTTGGTGGTGATGAAATCTCTGAGTGCTTGCTTGTTCACAAAGGATTTTATTTTTCCTTCACTTATGAAGCTTAGTTTGGCTGGATAGGAGATTCTGGGTTGAAAGTTCTTTTCTTTAAGGATGTTGAATATTGGCCCCCAATCTCTTCTGGCTTGTAGGGTTTCTGCTGAGAGATCTGCTGTGAGTCTAATGGGCTTCCCTTTGTGGGTAACCCGACCCTTCTCTCTGGCTGACCTTAGCATTTTCTCTTTCATTTCAACCCTGGTGAATCTGACGATTATGTGCCTTGGGGTTGCTCTTCTTGAGGAATATCTTTGTAGTGTTCTCTGTATTTCCTGGATTTGAATATTGGTCTGCCTTGCTAGGTTGGGGAAGTTTTCCTGGATAATATCCTGAAGAGTATTTTCCAGCTTGGATTCATTCTCTTCATCACATTTAGGTACACCTATCAGACGTAGATTAGGTCTTTTCACATAGTCCCACATTTCTTGAAGATTTTGTTCATTCCTTTTTGTGCTTTTTTTCTCTGTTCTTGCCTTCTCTTTTTATTTCATTGAGTTGATCTTCGACCTCTGATATCCTTTCTTCTGCTTGGTCAATTCGGCTGTTGAAGCTTGTGCATGCTTCACGAAGTTCTCGTGTTGCGTTTTTCAGCTCCATCAATTCACTTATACTCCTCTCTATGCTGTCCATTCTCGTCAGCAGTTCGTCCAATCTTTTTTCAAAGTTCCTATTTTCTTTGCGTTGGGTTAGAACATGTTCTTTTAGCTCATTATAGTTTCTTACTACCCACCTTCTGAAGTCTGATTCTGTCATTTCATCACCCTCCTTCTCCATCCGGTCTGGTTCCCTTGTTGGTGAGGAGTTGTGATCCGTTTTAGGAGGAGAGGTGTTCTGGTTTCGGGAGTTTTCATCCTTTTTGCGCTGGTTTCTTCCCATTTTTGTGGGTTTATCCACCTGTTGTCTGTCTCTGTCCCAGGGACTTGGAGCTTTATGAGTTGCACTACTGCCTTTTTTTGATTTTTCTTTCAGGTCTGACCCGCCCAGCTAGCAGCACGCCTAGCCACTTCCTGCCCGCAGGGGCTTTGCTGAGCTGCTGTGGTCTCTGCCCAGCTGCCCTGAGCTCTTCCCTGTAGTCCTTTTTATATGGGCGTAGTTAGAACTGTCTCAGCAATGGTGGCCCCGCCTCTGTTATGGCGGATTCTCTCTGTTGTGGCAGGTTGCCTCGGCAACGGCGGGTTGCCTCGGCAAGGGCAGCCTGCCTCCTAGCGGTGGAGAGTCTCAGTAATGGTGGAAGCCCCTCCCCCACGGAGGCGGACCGTCCGGGTTCAGCTGTGTTTGGTTTGGAGGGCTCAACCCAGAGGGTTTCTAATTACTGTTTTTGTTTTTGTTGTTGTTGGGCGTGGAGGGGTGGGACCTACCGAGCCTGATCACCTGTCTCCCTGACTCAGAGTCTTTTCTTTTAAGTTGAACGACCCCGCCTTCCGGTCGCTTGTTGAAAAGGCGCCGGGATCTCCCGTGCTGAGACTCACGGAGTCGGCTCGAACTGCGGCGCCGGCTCCTGGTGGATTTTTTGCCTAGGAATCTCCTGGCCTGACTCGCTATGGGCAACTCTGCCGTCTCAGGGCTCTGCTCGCCAGCTAAGAGGGCTCCTAGACCAGTGGCTTTTGTATGGAGAACGGCAGCAACAGGGCGTGGTCACAGCAGCCGCGCGGGCGGAATCAGCCCCGCGGGGGCCAAAACAGCCGCACTGGCTGGGACTGCGACGCTGGGGACCCTTCTGCCTGGGTATCTCCTGGTCTGTGGGCAATAAGAGTTCGTCTGGAAATGCGGCGTCCACTCACCCTCTGCACTTTCACTGGGAGCTGAAGTCCTGAGCTGTTCTTAGGCGGCCATCTTCCCAGCATTCCAGTAATTTTCAACTACTTGAAAAGGGTCGTCATACTTTCTGAAATGTGACTGTTTTGTTTTTTTTTTTTTGAGACAGAGTTTCACTCTTGTTACCCAGGCTGGAGTGCAATGGCGCCATCCTCGGCTCACCGCAACCTCCGCCTCCTGGGTTCAGGCAATTCTCCTGCCTGAGCCTTCTGAGTAGCTGGGATTACAGGCATGCGCCACCATGCCCAGCTAATTTTTTTGTATTTTTAGTAGAGACGGGGTTTCACCATGTTGGCCAGGATGGTCTCGATCTCTTGACCTCATGATCCACCCGCCTCGGCCTCCCTAAGTGCTGGGATTACAGGCTTCGGCCACCGCGCCCGGCCCGACAGTGTTTTATTATTTTTAGAGACTTAAAAGTTTTTTGTATACAGAGCTCCTGCCCTTAATAAATAGCTTAATGCATTTAGTAGACAAGTATAGAAGTCTAAAATTCCATCTGTGTGGTTAGTGAACTCATTTTAAACAGACTGTGACTGGCTTATTCACATTTATATTTCATCAGTACCTTATACACAGCAACACTTAATATATGTTCATCAAATTATCAAACAAGCTTAATATTACAAAATATCCCATGTTTTGTTAAAGAGTTAGAACTTGGAATATCTATGACTTCTTGCTGTATTTTAGCTTTGCTATCTCATGTGAAACAGTCAGAAATAGTTGCGGTAGGTGTTGCTTTTTTGCTAGTTATCCTTTACATTTCTAGCTGTTTCTAAGTGAAAGTAGAGGTATCATGGTGTTTCTGTAGTTTATTTACAAGAAAGGAGGATACATATAACCTATCAAACTATTTTTTTGGCTCAATTTTTCCAGACAAGAGATTACAAAACTATAGAGTACAATAATTTATATTTTCAGTAGTAAAAAAATTCTTGCTTTCTCCAAAGCGTGGCTAATTTTACAGCTGTATTATTTCTTTTTATTTTTAGTGTGTTTTTTTTTTTTTAACCAGAATGTTAAATTATGCTTTCATTTTAGCTACTGCATTATACAAGACTAGTTACATTCAAAGCACAGTTTTCCTGTACAGTTATGGGAAGGTGACTTAGAGTGTTAATTAATTTTTTTCTTTCTTAACTTAAAGGCATTGGTTATAAATTCAAAGAGCTTGAAAAGATTGAAGAGGGCCAAACACTGATGATTTGTGGAAAAGAAATAGAAGTCATGGGTGTCATCTCTCCAGATGACTTCAGCAGTGGCAGGTGTTTTCAGCTTGGAGGAGGAAGTACTGCTACCTCTTGTTCTTCTCTGGCTGCCAGGAAATGTTTCTCTAACCCTTTCAAAAGTGTTTGTAAACCAAGTTCAAAGGAAAATAGACAGAATGATTTCCAAAATTGCAAACCACGCCATGACCCATATATGCCAAGTAAGATTTTAAAAATAATTTGAATTTTGTTTTTACTGTCAAAGGATTTTGTGTGTGTGTGAATTTGAAGTTTAAATTTTGCTTTAAAAGTTTTAGGTGAAAGTATACATTATTCTTGAGATCTGTAATCTGACATAAGGAATAATGTTGAAATCAAATGACAATATAGTTTGGGAATTATTTCATATGTAAATGAATAATCCCAAGACTATAGTAATAAAAATACTGTACATGTGTTGAAGGAAACATATCTAAATTATATGTATATACATACACATACATGTATATGATTTTGAACAAAATCTGACTTTTTAGTAAGGAGAGAAATAAATTTGTGAATCTGGACTATGATTATACTAGTTTCAGGACTGTATGCCTTGATCACAGGCATTAGTGTATCAAAATAATAGTAAGATGTCATACAAAGTCCATATTTTTCTGCTGAAAGTTCCACTCAATCAGTTAATTTTCACACTGATGAATCCAATTTATAAAATTATATTAAAAAAAGAAACGTAGCTTGTATCTGATTGTTCTTTTATTTGACTGTTCATTCAGCAGATATTTCTTGATTGCCTTTTATGTGTTGGGCCTAAAGGTAAAACTGTCATCACAGAGCTTCTCATTTGATGAGGGGAAGGACGAGTAATCTGAATGAAACAGTAGATGTGAAAGTTGAGAGATAGAGGTGATTTCTTTCCTAACAACAGCAAGATAAAAGTATATAAAGTAATACTTATTTTTCCCCATTGCAAGTATATGGAAACATAAGTTTTGAAGTAAAGAGGGCTTTGAGATCATTTAGATTAGGCTCTTCACTTTGCATTTGAGGAAACTGAGGCCCAAGAAAGTGAACCAACTTACCTAAATATAAATAATCAATGGCATTATTGGGATTAAAAATTGAAAATTAAAAATTCCTAGTTCTATATTAGCTTATCCCAAAGACTTACTTGAAATATAGGGAGTGGAAGCTGATGCAGCTGAATTTTCTCTTTTTGTCCAAATATTTTGTCTGTTGCACCAGCTCTTTGAACAATCTCTCTACCCTTTATTCTCCTTTTTCTTTGCACTTGTACTGTTATACAATAGAAGGCTGTGAAGAACTGAAAAGAATACTGTGCTTATTCAAAGATCTGAGTTAGAATCATGGTTTTGCCATTAAACTAACTGGTTCTTGGACCTCTTGGGGGTAGTCACTGATCTTCCTAATGTTTTGCCTACTGTGGGTAAAATGTGGATCCTAATACCCACCATAGAGATTTAGAGTGTCTAGCATATACTCTTTTCCAGTAAATACTTGCTGAGTGCGTGAATGAAACATTTTAGTGGCATTTATGAGTTGCAAATATGTGTATGTATATATATCTGTGTACATGTGAATTATATTTGTGTGTATGTGTATAAAAGCACTTTGGGTAAATAGTAAATGGTTAATTATGCTCATGTATTTATCTTATCATGCCAAGGATAGAATAAGGTTTGTAGACATAAAATGAATGCCTGAGGCCGGGCCCAGTGGCTCAAGCCTGTAATCCCAGCACTTTGGGAGACCGAGGTGGGTGAATCACGAAGTCAGGAGTTTAAGACCAGCCTGGCCAACATGGTGAAACCCTGTCTCTACTAAAAATACAAAAATTAGCTGGGCATGGTGGCATATGTAATCTCAGCTACTCAGGAGGCTGAGGCAGGAGAATTGCTTGTACGGGGACCCAGGAGGCAGAGGTTGCAGTGAGCCAAGTCTGAGCCACTGCACTCCAGCCTGAGCTACGGAGTAAGACTCTGTCTCAAAAACAAAAAAAAAAAAGCCTAATGTCTGATGTTAATTTTAAACAATTATCTTCATCACTTTAAAGATAAAGAAACATCTTAAAGTTTCAACTAGTGTTCTATTACTTTGACTGTTTAGTTTTCTCTTTCTTGAAGATGGGCCTTTTATTAGGTGATTTATAATCCTACAATCCTTTTTGCTTGGGCAGTATGTGATTTTTCGCCTCTTACCTTCTCTTTTTCCTTGTCCTTTTTAAAAGATAGAAAAATAATGGGGCCATTTCTTGATTGGAAATCCCCAAGGAGTATACTCTTACTTTATTATGGTAATATAGAGGAAAGCCAAGGACTACATTTCCCAATTTTACTTCATAGTCCTCTACCTAACAAGAATTGACCTCAAAGATGAAAGTTCCTTTCAGTTACTCAGAAACCTAGGAAGATCCACAGAAAACTTATCCTTGGGGTAATTGTTAATGGTAAACATGACCGAACTCTTATTCCTGTGACAATATAGCTCTACACTGATGAATATTTACACAATCTACTGGAATCTATTTCTTTTTATCTCCTCTTCTCATCTACTTATTTTTCTCTTCTTTCTTTCTTCTTTTTTTTTTAATCTAATTCAATTTTTATAAACATGATACAGACATGCAAATATATCCCCCAAATAATTTTGGTGGGTTTATTATCTAATTTCAGATTTATCAATTGAGACCTGCCTTCTAGTGATACTTGATTTTGCCTTTTTGGATGATATTTTAGAAAATCTTTTAAATTGTGTTAGCATATTTTTGAAGAATTACATTGTTATCCTATCATGACTTTATGCTGCTTTAAAGAGGTTCATGAGGCCAAGCGAGGTGGCTCACACCTGTAATCCTAGCAATTTGAGAGGCTGAGGTGGGCAGATCACTTGAGGACAGGAGTTCGTGACCAGCCTGGCCAACATAGTGAAACCCTACCTCTACTAAAAATACAAAAATTAGCCAGGTGTGGTGGCGTGAACCTGTAATCCCCGCTAGTTGGGAGGCTGAGGCACGAGAATAGCTGGGAGGCGGAGATGGCAGTGAGCCAAGATTGCACCACTGCACTCCAGCCTGGGCGACAAAGTGAACCTCTGTCTCAAAAAAAAAAAAGTTTATAAACTCGACATTCATGAATATAGTAATTAACTTCAAGCAAATAATGGTGGCTAAGTCAATGAAAAATGTATCATTTTTTCACAGTTCCACTTAATAGGAGTAATGGTCGTTGTTAGTGTGTATAGAACTGAACAGATAGAAACCCTGTATGTTAAATTTGGGGAGCCTTTTCAAATGAGAAGCTGTGCACATTGGCAAATGCATCTTGGCAAAATTTCAACCTGTGCTTTCAGTTGGAAATAGTTCTCTGCTCTGAATAGTGAGCTATTGAATGTTGTGGCTTATTGAATTCTTTACTAGACAATAGTGAATTTCAGTGCTTTCAAAGCACTTTTGGGTTTATGAAGTTTGGAAGGCTCTTTGTAATTATTTGCATGAAATTGTACATTAGTAAGGCATGAGATTTTCTTTTTAAATTTTGTGCCCTTGGGTGACATTACTATCACTAAATTTTGGATTTTTTTTGGCCACAAATGATAGCAAACAATTCTATCTTAGGATAATGAAAACAAGATAATGTTGGTTGCTGAAAAAGTGAAATTATAATACATTTATACTTGTACTTTTATCATTTTTTAAGATTCCCTTGTTATGCCACGACCAGATAAGAATCACCAGCGGGTATTCAATAAGAACGGTTTACCTCTTGTGGATGTAGTGATTGATCCTTACGTTGTTTATCATCTTCGGCCACATCAGAAAGAAGGAATCATATTCCTTTATGAATGTGTGATGGGAATGAGGTAGGAAAATAAATCATTTGTTTAGTCTAATCTGAATTTTGATTTAACTTGTAAAACAATAATGGTTTTCTAAGCAGATCGTGATATAATGAGTCTTGAGGGTACATTATGAATTTCAATTGGTAGGAAAGGTGAATAGTGCTTAATGTGTGTGTTTATTCCAAAAGTAGTTCCTGATAGATGTCATGTGCCAGACATACTGCTAGGAGATGTGCATACAGGAATCAGGATCATGGTCCTTAGTTTTAAGTAGCTCATAAAGTATTTGAGTAAACAGATAAATGCAGTTGACCTTAATGTGGTATAATAAAAGCTCACTGCTAGTATGGCAAAGGGTCATGAGAGCAAGCGAAAGAGGTTTTTAATTCTGTTTATGAGAACTTTTTGTTTTTTTTTGAGGTGGAGTCTTGCTATGTTGCCCAGGCTGGAGTGCAGTGGCACTGTCTTGGCTGACTGCAACCTATGCCTCCCAAGTTCAAGTGATTCTTGTGCCTCAGCTTTCTGAGTAGCTGGGGCTGTAGGTGTGCTCCACTATGCCTGGCTAATTTTTGTATTTTCAGTAGAGATAGAGTTTCACCATGTTGGCCAGCTGGTCTTGAACTCCTGACCTCAAGTGATCCGTCTACCTCAGTCTCCCAAAGTGTAAGCCATTGCACCTGGCCTGGTTATGAGAATTTTGGAAAAAGATTTTCTTCTGTCTGTCCGTCTGATAAAAAAGTTTCTTCTTGCCTTTTGCATTGAGTTTTCTGATTAAAGAATAGTAGTATCTTCTCTTAAAGATATTTTAGAGGACACACACTCACACACACACACACACACACACCAGGAGAAAAAATGAATCAAAGGCCCCTGCTAGCGTTTCTTTCAGTCCTTTTTGTTTTTTTTTGCCTTGTTTTTAAATGCCAAGGCCCTTGATTTTAAAGTTCGTCGTTTAAAGGTAGTTGGAACTGAAATTCTCCCCAACTCAAAGAACTCCTTGAATGTTGACAAGTTAAGGGAATACTATCTTCCAGAAACTGTTAACTAGACTTATATTTTCTCCCAAATCTGCTTTTTCTTTTGAGGGTCTTACCTCAGTTGGTCTGGGAATCATCTTTGATTTCTTCTCTTTTACATTCTGAATCTAGTTGAATCTGAACTTTTAATTATTTTAACCACCGAAATATCATTTGTTTCCTAATCTTTTCTGTCATTCTACTGCAGCATCTCTAGTAACCAATGTCATAAAAATATCATATTTTATCTAGACTATTGCAATGGCTTCTAACTTGTATATTTGCTTCTGATGCCTCTCAAATGTATTCTACTTAAAGTCACCTTTTTGAGTTTTCTGAAAAACAGTTCTGAACATGGCATTCCCTTATTAAAAATCATTCAGACTCTCAGAACTTAGAGCAGTGTTTCCCAAAGTGTGATTCCCTACTTCACTGGCAGTATATGGGACCATTTCCAGGTGGCAAATGGATAAGCCTTTTAAAAAAATTTGAATAGTAGCATATTTAGTTAATTATTAGAAAACTAGGCTGGGCACGGTTGCTCATACCTGTAATCCAGCACTTTCAGAGGCCAAGGCAGGCAGATCACTTGAGGTCAGGAGTTTGAGACCAGCCTGACCAACATGGTGAAATACGTCTCTACTAAAAATACAATAACTAGTTGGGTGTGGTGTCAGGCACCTATAATGCCAGCTACTCAGGAGGCTGAGGCAGGAGAATCACTTGAACCCAGGAGGCAGAGGTTGGAGTGAGCCAAGATTGTGCCACCACTCTCCAGCCTGGTCAACAGAGCAAGACTCCCATCTCGAGAAAAAGATAATAGCACATTAAACTTTTGGTTTTACAGATAAATTATGCTTATAGTTTTTTTTTTTTTTCAAATTTAAGTTAAAATGAGTTGATTTGAAGAAAAATAATAAATAACCTAGTGTCACAGATATGGCAAAAAATTGTGATGGTAGTCATGAAATACCGGTTTTGGGGAGATGCTGATCTACAAGATACAGTCTAAACTCTATCCTCATTTGTCTTCTGCCTACTTTGCTAGCTTCATATTTTTCAGTTCAAACTCCAACTATATTCAACTGCCTAGTTAGTGTAGTAATTATTTACCCTTTACAATTTTGCTCAAGGTAGATCTTCTCCATAAAGGCTTCCTGTTTGCTCCCTTCTTTTTATCATGAAAGGATGAACCTATTCTCTTTGCTATTCACTGTATCTCATTTGGCTGACATTTGGTCCTTTGTTGCCAAGTTATTGATCTAAAACAGCCACCTAGATGGTAGCTGTAATTTATGTAATTTTTTTCTCTGTATCTTGAAATGTAACACATATATAAAATTGCATATTGGTTCCTAATTTCTACTAAGAAGAAATATAATTAACTAACAAACCACAGTTGACTCTTTAACAACTCAGGAATTAGGGTTGCTGACCCACTGTGTAGTCAAAAATCTGCATATAACTTTTGCAGAAACTTTAATAAACTACTGTTGACTGGAAGCCTTACTGATAACATAAACGCTCAATTTACACATAATTTCATATATGATATGTATTATATACTGTATTCTTACAATAAAGTAAGCCAGAGAAAAGAAAGCTCGAAGAAAATCATAAGGAAGAGAAAATGTATTTACTATTAAGTAGAAATGGATCATCATGAGGGTCTTCATCCTCATCAACTTCATGTTGAGTAGGCTGAGGAAGAGGAAGGGTTGGTTTGGCTGTCTCAAGTGGCAGAACAGTTGAAGGGGATAGAAGGGCGGCAAGAGAGGCAGGCACACTCATTTGTAACATTTATTGAAAAAAATCCATATACAAGTGGACTTTCACAGTTCAAACCCTTGTTCAGTGGTCAACTGTATACTTATGTATTTTTGTAATATCCTTAATTCCCTTGGAATTGTTAACTTTAAAAATATAAAACACACATCTAAAGTCTTTAAAAATATAAAGTGGCATAAAAATACATGGTCGTACTGATAATAGTCCTAATAACATTTAATTTTTAATTACGTAACTGAGTAGGTCTGTAGGTCTGTAGTATGCCAATTTTTACTAAATTATGTGTGTTAGATCAAGTATTTAGTGTTTAATTTTTTTTTATGGTGCAGGGAGCTATTTTTGTTGAGGACTTCATTTACTGACAATCATAAAATACAGCTCTGTAGATCTTGCTGATTAAATATAATATAACAATGCATTTTGAACTGTTTTGATATCTGAAACTGAAAAAAATTGCTCAACTCTCAGCGATGAGAAGCGTAGTTATAGTTAAATTATCCAAATGCAGATATAAAATTGGAAATCACTTCTAGTCTCTAAATATGTACATATAATAGTAGCAGATGATTTAGATTAAACTTTCTAATTTCAGATTTATGTTTTGGTAATTTAGTTGACAATATGTAATGGATATAATTATCAAAGATGCAAAAAAATGTGTTGTAAATCAGCTGAATGAAGTACTAAAAGAGTCTTCAGTATCATTACAAAATATCACTTTTTGGTTCTTGATTATTTTAGGGGCATAAAATATTTTCCTATTGTGATTAAAAGAAGTAAAATTATTTCTAACAGAATGAATGGCAGATGTGGAGCTATTCTTGCTGATGAAATGGGTTTAGGGAAAACACTGCAATGTATTTCACTCATCTGGACCCTGCAGTGTCAGGGACCCTATGGAGGCAAGCCAGTAATAAAGAAGACACTAATTGTCACACCTGGAAGCTTGGTGAATAATTGGAAGAAAGAATTTCAGAAATGGCTAGGAAGTGAAAGGATTAAGATATTTACTGTTGATCAGGTAAGAAACTTAAAAGTTTAGCCTTAGTCATTTAAAAAAATCTAGCTTTTCAAATCAGTAATTCAGTTTTTACTTGTTAACTCCCTAACCCTTTTGCACGAAAATGGAGTCTTAGCTTTGGTTTTGAGTTGTTGTGGACTGAATGTTTGTGTCCCCCAGATTTATATGTTAAAACCCTAACTTTCAATATAATGGTATTAAGAGGTGGGGTAGGGAGGTAATTAGGTTTAGATGAGGTCGTGATGGTAGAGCCATGTGATGGGATTAGTGCCTCTGTAACAAGAGGAAGAGACAACAGAGCTTCTTTTCTATACTATGTGAGGATACAGTAAGAAAGCATTTTTCTGCAAGCCAGGAAGAGGTTTCTCACCAGAAAGCAATCATACTAGCACCCTGATCTTAGACTTTCCATCAGAACTGTGAGAAATAAATGTCTGTTGTTTAAGGCACCTGATCTATGGTGTTTTGTTATAGCAGCCTCAGTTGACTAAGACACAAAGAGTTAACATGTTCCAATTCTTGACAAGTGACTATCATGAATAGGCTGCTTAAATTTGATTTCATATAGTTTCTGTCCCTGATTTTTGAAATACTATCTTTTTTCCTCAGGAACACAAAGTTGAAGACTTCATCAAGTCTGTATTTTATTCTGTTCTTGTTATCAGTTATGAAATGTTACTTCGTTCCCTGGATCAAATTAAGGATATAAAATTTGATATTCTAATCTGTGATGAGGGACATCGTTTGAAGAACAGTGCCATTAAGACAACTACAGCCCTTATTAGCCTTTCTTGTGATAAAAGAATAATTCTAACTGGTCAGTATTCAGTTTGTGGAAGATATTTTGGAATTTTTACCTAGTGAATATACAGACTTGTACTATGATGCTTGACATTCAGATAACTGATTTATTAGTATAAATCTGTGTTAATTGACTCTTGGTAGGATTCTGAATCTTCAGATCTATAATTTTCTGTAGTCCAGATTTTGGGGTTTTTAGGAATAAACACAATTATATCATGATAAGGAATTTAGGAGATTAGAGTGGATTGCTTGTGCGTGGTTCCTGAGTCTGACACAGCTGTACAACTTGGAGCAAATTATTTAGCATTTCTGTGTCTCAGTTTTTTAATCTATAAAATAGGGATGGTAATACTATCTAACTTTGTAGAGTTCTTGTGAGGATCAGAGGAGTTAATCCATGCAAAGTTCTTGGGAAACTATCTGACACATGGTAAGTGTTTAATATAAATATCAGTTATTTTTATATGTATATGCTACATAATGCATGGTTGACTGTTGGCCAAAGCTTCTGGATCTGACTATCTGGAAAGGTGAGATAGATGGTAAATATAAGAATCTTCTTCTATCTTTTTACTTTATGCTAAATTAGAGTCAGATCTAAGTTGCTCAGTGTAGCTTTTCTCCCATATTTCATCTTGGTCCTGTATGGCCCTTCCAATTTGCCATCATGGCAGCAGAATAAAGAAGAGAATTGTATTACTAATATTTACAGTTCCTCTATTTTCTACTCAAGGCTTCATTTTCCCTACCATCTCAAACCCTTTTTAGAAGGAATGGTCAGAATATGATTCTTACTGTGTCATCATCATTTTGTCCTTCATGTGTTCTTTATTCATGTCACAGCTATCCTCTGAAGTTAAAATGAGGAAAGAGAAGAAGTATGACGAACAACTTGTACCGCCTTCCTATACCTATAGGGTGGAAACCAGAACAACAGAGAGGAGGAAACTCTTCCTCTTCTGTTCTTACTGTGTTGGGGTGGGGAAGATTACTCACCTTTAAGTAATTCTTCATCATTTGACTTCCAATTTGTATAGGAGGATTATATTAACCGTTATCAAAAGTGATTTTTAAAATGATCTATACTTAAAAAAAATGATTTTGGTAAATGTTAAAGGACCTTATTTTTTAAATTTAATCACAAAGATAAAGACAAAAGGACTAGGATCACATCTCGTAGTTATTACCCCCAAGATTTATTTGCCCAACAAATGTTTGTCCATAATAGTGATATAGAAACCAAAGAATAGGAAAACTGGTGTTGAATATTTATAAAATGCCATTTTTAAAGGAAAAAATAAGTCAGGGAAATAGGAACCATAATCTGAATGATTTTCATGCCTTGGGCTGTTTGAGGAGCTGAGTGGATTCTTTATACTTGATTTCCAATGCTGCAGTTCAGATTTCTTGACTAGCCTTTGATCTTGAGATCCTTGGGGCTAGAAAAGTAATGAAGTAATGGGAAAAAATGAGTTAGCTGAATTTAGTAATACTGAGTTGGAAGAGAAAAAGACTGTTTCTTCTTACTGCTCAAGATGGCGGTTGTATTGCTTATTTAAAGATTAGTTGCAGATATAAAGTAAAAATGGTTAGCACTAGAAGGGAGGAGAAAAAAATAAAAAAGAAGAGTGAGAAATAAAATTTACTGAAAAGTACTGAAGATAAGAAATAAAAGTTCCCTTTTTCACTTGAAAAATCAGATAATTTTCTGTAGCAAAAATATATAATTATATTGATATTCTTAATGATAAACAAATACTAATTTAACTGGCATTCCAAATTAAATTTAATCTGCAGTAGAAAATTGAACTAGGATTTCTTTCAACAAGAATGTCTTGATGGCAACTGGTGAGATAGTTTCATTTGAGGCTTTAGTATTGTCCGCTGTGTCCTTTGTCAATCTTAGCTTTTTTCTGTTTTGTTGTCCTTATCACACTTAGCCCCTGAGCTATGAATTTAGGTAAAAACTAGCCCTAACTGATCTTTTAAATTTAGAAATGCTCATAGTTGGTTTCTATTTACTTAGAATTGCCTGAACGCAGTCTTTGCCTTTATGGGCAGGATATTTTATCCCCAAGATAATTTGTTCCTTACTATGAAAAAGTATATGTTTGTATAGGAGTATGTACAGTGCTATATACCTGATAGGTCCTCAGTAACTGAGAATCAGATGAAAATGATTTTGATTTTGTTTCCTGGTATTATCTAGCCCAGTGCTGTGGAATTAATATTTACTGGAAAATGGTTAGGATTCAGTTTGATTGATAGAGGTGTGTTAGTTTTCTAGCACCGCCATAGCAAAAGACCACAGACTGAGTAGACTAAACAACAAAAATTTATTTTCTCACAGTTCTAGATGCTGGAAGTCCAAGATCAAGATGTCAGCAGGTGTGGTTTCTGTTGAGGTCTCCCAACTTGGCTTGCAGACAGCTGCCTTCTCCCTATGTCCTCATGTATTCTATTCTTTGTGTAACTATAACTGTGGAATATCTCCCTCTCCTCTTATAAGGATACCAGTCTTATTGGATTAGAGCCCCACCCTTAGGACCCCATTTAACCATAATTACCTTCTTAAAGGTCCTATCTCCAAAAACAGTCACATTGGGAGTTGGAGCTTCAACATAGGAATTTTAGGGGGACATAATTCAGTCCACAATAAGAGCTGAATGATTATTACAAGATCTTAGCTGCCCTTTTATTATATCATAAAAAAGATAAATCTGAGATTTGAAGCAAAATTCTTATTACAGACTGAAAAGTTAACAACACATATACTGCTATCGAATGCTTAGAAACTGGAGAACAGAAATCATCTTCCAACCTCACCTCCTTAATTGTTAGCACCTGACATATTTTATTATTTGTACATACACACAGAGAGCATACATGCATATTTTAAAATTCTTTACACATACATACAAAACACATCTTTTTGCACATACACATATGTACATGAAAATATCTTATAAACATTTTCCTATAATATTGCATAATCTTAAAAACTATTCTTACAATTCAACATTAGGTTGTTTTTAATTCATTACTATCATAAATAATGTGGTGACGAATATCTATAAGCATATACTCTTTCCGTATAGATTCCTGGAAGTGGGCTTATAGGATTTAAAGGAAAAATATAAGCATAAGTGTGTATAAAGAGCTTTCAGAGCTTCTGTGGAGGTTACAGGAGTTATAGGTGTAGGTTATTGACAGTGTTGGGTGGTAGAGTTCTTTTTTTTTTAAAAAAACAAACTTTATTTATTTATTTATTTATTTATTTATTTATTTATTTATTTATTTTTTAGGGATAGGATGGAGATAGGGAAGAGAAAGAGTTATTTCATTTTCCCAGAAGTTTCTTTTCCGTACTATTGAAAATAGTTTTAGTAAATACACCAACTTGATTTGAAAATCTTTAGTTTTTTCTTTTTTTCTTCTACAGGTTTTACCTAGTTTAGAATTAGAGAAGAGCAATGAAATAGCAAATGGGGATCTAAATTACTACTAGAAATCAATGTGACAAAACCTTATAATGATGCTATACTATACTATTGGTCCTCTCTTGTAGCTGTATTCCCCTTCTCGTCTTTTTCCCCCTCTTCCTTACTCTTTTTTTTCTTCTTCTTTTCTGCCCTAAATCCTTTCTCCTGTCCTCATATTGTGTTCTGCTTTTCTTCTTTTTTCCAGTTTTGCTTTTGCCTCTTCCCCTTGTATATCAGTTGGGAGGATTTCAGATGCCAGTAACAGATAATCTGAATCAAATGTGTTTATTCCACCATATAATTGGAAGTCTAAAGGTAATCCAGGCTACAGCAATCTAACATCATCATCAAGGATTCTGGTTCTTTATATCCTCTGCCCTGCCATATTTGGTGTTAGCTTCATCTTCAGGCTGATAGCAAGTGACTGCAGCAGTTCCAGACATCACAGATAGATGTGATGATATACAAAGGAGAACAGGACTTACTCTTCTTGTTTCTCTATGTTTAAGAGTGAGGAAACTTCCCTCAAAGCCCCTCTGTGATGACTTCTTATGTCTCATTGGCCAGGATGGGTCGCATGCTATTGATGGAATCTCTTGGTGCCCTTTCTAGCTCTCCTTTTCTGCGCTATTGTAACCATCTTTTAGCTGCTGGTATTATTGATTAAACAACTCAGAGCCCTTTTCTGGAGAATTATCTTTGATTGAATGAGAGCTGTATTCTCCTCTATAGTTTGCAATCAATGATTGGCTGATTTAGGAGTAAAGAGCTCCCTTGCCTCACAGTAATTTCAGGACCAATGTTATGGTTCAGTTTATGCTCTACAGCTCCCTGTAATTTAGCTCAACCTAAATTATGGCTGAGGCCATTCTTGCATAGTTTCTTCTCCTACCATTTTCTGATTCCATTATTCCCTTTCTCCTGAGAGCTCTCCCTTTCTAAATCACGTGCAACCAAATCACTGTCTTAGGCTCTGCTTCCAGTGAACCTAGTATGAGACACAAACGCGTTTGTATGTCAGTCATTGGCAAAGGAGGGGATAGAATTACTATGATTGACTTAATTAATCATTTGGGGTTGGATGAATGTCTGAAAGCCAACAATAGTGATCCTTCTACTGTTCTTTTTCTTCTTTCCGATACTCCCCAATCTTTATTTGTCATCATCGAGCATATTCTTTTAGAGGCTTAACTGAATCCATACCAACATAAATGTATTTTTTCCAACTCTTTTGATGATGTGTCTAAAAATTTAAAACTGACTAGATGTGTTAAATTAAAAAAATTAGCAATTGCTGGTCCAACCGTGGGGACGGGGACCCATTAAGTTTTAGGGAGGTGATCATTAAATTCCCTGACATTAAAAAGTTTATGTCATTCATCTTAATTAAATAAATGCATTTTTATTTACTTTTCACATTATAATATGTATATCTTTGGACAACATTTTCTAGTCTGTAATTTGAAAGCCACCTGAAATTACATGTTTATGCTGATATGTATGTTCTTTTGGTACTATTTTAATTATTGAAATGTGCTAATGTTTGAAAATTAGCCAAAAGCTATTGCATACTGTATGTAATATATAGAGGGTATATGAATCCATTACAGTCTGTATCAACCCTTTGGGCAGTGAAGATCTCAATTTGATCTGACAACTTTGAAAGTTACTACTAGGTGCCATTCAGTGAATGTTTACTGAGTGTCAGACATTTTACTGGGTACTTCATATACATTGTCTCTACTTTTCATTATAATTATTCTGGAAAGTTATTATCTTCAAACTTCTATAAATGAAAAAAAAAATCCTGAGTTTAAAGGGCTTAAGCAGTTTGTCCAAAGTCACACACCTATAATAACAGTAAGAATTGCCAAAGTTATAGAACATTTATTGTGTTCTAGGCACCAAAGTATATTATATGGATTGACTACTTTGATCCTCACAACACTAGGAACCACTATTATTTGCATTTTACAGATAATAAACTAGTGTAAATAACTTTCTCAGGATCACTCAGGCAGTAAATTATGCAGGTAGGGTTTGAACCTAAGCAGTGAGACTCCCCTGAGCCTGCACTTAGTCACTATGAAGTCGCTTATGCTACTATGTAAGGGTTTAGCATGAAGTTAAAACCAGAGTTAAAAGTTACGTGGTGACTGATTTTTTTTTTTTTTAACTTGCTTTGACTGCTCTTTCTTAGTTTTAGACAATTTGCTTGTATTTATTTCTTTTAGGGAAAAATTTCTCCAAACTTCCATTATGGTTCTGCTATAAACCTGTGATTGTGATTGTAAAACACAAACGACCTTTTCCTCATTTTTATCTCTTTTTAGGTACTCCAATTCAGAATGATCTGCAAGAATTTTTTGCATTAATTGATTTTGTAAATCCAGGAATATTAGGCTCTTTGTCATCTTATAGGAAAATATATGAAGAACCCATTATTTTATCAAGAGAACCTTCTGCTTCTGAGGTATTATGTACTCTAATAAATACATTTTTAAAAAGCTGTATGTCTGAGGAAATCATCCATAACTTCATATTATTTTGATTTAGAAAAATTAAATCAATGTAGTGAACTCTTTATTTTTCTCCACAATCCTTCATTTCCTGCATTCCTTATTTTGGAATATGACATTACCACTTGTCTAAAATTCATGAATAGGCACGTGACAGAGAATTATAAATGACAACATATAAAATTGTTCATCCTTACTAGTTTTTACAAAAGTTATATGAAATAACCAAAGTAACTTTTGTACTTTTTAAAATTGGTGTGTGTTTGTTTATTTAGAGATGGTGTCACTCTGTGTTGCCCAGGCTGGTCTTGAACTCCTGGGGTTCAGATGATCCTTTTGCCTCAGCCTCCTGGGTAGCTGAGTCTACCACCTCCCCAACTTGGATTTACTAGTGGTAGCAAGTATAAACAAGAGTCTGCTATTTGGAATATAAATTGTTGGTTGGAATGTACATTGGCACAAGTTGAGGAAAGTTTGACAATTTATATCAAAAGCATTAAAATTGTGTATATCTTGTAGCCTGGCAATCCTTCTTTAAGGAATTTATTATAAAGAAATTATAGCAGATTTAAGAACTTAGCTATAAGGTATAGGGTGACCTTGTGTCTACAAAAAAAAAAAAAAATTAGCCAGGCATGGTTGGGTGCACCTGTGGTTCCAGCTACCAGGAGGCTGAGGTTGGAAGATTGCTTGAGCCTGGGAGGTGGAGGTTGTAGTGAGCTGAGATCACATCACTGCAATCCAGTCCTGGGCGACAGCGTGAGACTCTGTCTCAAAAAAAAAAAAAATACAATAAAAACTTAGCTGCCAGGGTAAAAAATTAGAAACAGGCCATATGTGGTGGCTCATGCCTATAATCCCAGCAGGTGGGTGGATCACTTGATGTCAGGAGTTCCAGATCAGCCTGGCCAACATGGTGAAACCCCGTCTCTACTAAAAATACAAAGATCAGCGGATGTGGTGGTGCATGCCTGTAATCCCAGCTACTCAGGAGGCTGAGGCAGGAGGTTCACTTGAACCCTGGAGGCGGAGGTTGCAGTGAGCCAAGATTGTGCCACTGTACTCTAGCCTAAGCGATAGAGCAAGATTCTGTCCAAAAAGAAAAAAAAACAAACTGAGGGAAACACAAATGGGAAACAAACTTTTTTAAAGTAGGAGAATGGTTAAATTATGGTTTAAAGTAGGAAAATGGTTAAATTCATTGAATCTAGGATTCTACCAATTATAGGATATATCATTATGTTATTTAGGAGACTGACTTCACTTAATTAAATGGTTATGCTAGACATATAAAGAGATGGTTGGTTTTTCTATCTCTATACTCATATTTTATTTCTTTTAAAATTTATTGGTAAGCAATTAGTAAATGATTTATCATGAAATCTTTAATTTTCATTTTAAGTGTATTTTTGTCTATAACACTTTTATTTAAGTCTTCTGTTCTTCCATAGGAAGAAAAAGAGTTGGGAGAGAGAAGAGCAGCTGAACTTACTTGCCTTACTGGACTCTTTATCCTTAGAAGAACCCAAGAAATTATAAATAAATATCTCCCACCTAAAATAGAGAATGTAGTCTTTTGCCGACCAGTAGCACTCCAGATTGAACTGTATCGAAAGCTGTTAAATTCTCAGGTTGTCAGGTTCTGTCTTCAAGGATTGTTGGAAAATAGTCCTCATCTAATTTGTATAGGAGCTCTTAAAAAACTGTGCAATCATCCCTGCCTTTTGTTCAACTCTATAAAGGTAAGTGCATAGTATCTGAAACTGTGTCAGGGATATGAGGGTTCTGTGGTATATGAATCTAGGAGGGCAGATAGGGCTAATTTTTGAGGTTGCATCTGTGGGTTTTCAAAAACCTCTGCAGGCACTCTAGTATGGTTCTGCTATAGAGCTTATCCAGCTTTTTATTTGTTCTTCAGAGTATGTCTACATTCCTAGAGCTGAAGTAGGGAAGAGATGGGTTTGAGGTACTGCCTTCTACAGTTTGTGCCCCATCTCCTTTGGTACCTTGTGTAATACTTTGCCATGGCCTCCCATCCTATTTTGTGTTAATATCATCTGTCAGGTTTGTTTGTTTGGTGCTAACAAATACAATATTTGCCATTAAAAATAATTTATTGTTTTTCTCATTTTGAAAGTGATACATGATTGTTGCATAAAATTTGGAAAATTCAGAAAATCACAAAGAATAAAAATCATCTTAAACTAAAATCATGTAAAATCACATTTTGGTATTAATAATATTAGCTAACAGTTATTAAGTACTCATTATATACAGGTTGAGCATTCCTAATCGACATTTGAAATTCAAAATGTTCCAAAATTAAAAACTGAGTGCGAACATGATACCACAGGTGGGAAATTCCATAACTGACATCTTTGCTTTCTGAAGTTAAGTATACAGAAACTTTGTTTCATGCACAAAATTATTAAAAATACTGTGTAAAATTACCTTCAGGCTATGTATATGTATGAAACATAAATGAAATTCATGTTTAGACTTGGGTCCCATGCCCAAGATATATATGTGCAAATATTACAAAATCTGAAAAAATCTGAAATCTGAACCACTTCTGGTCCCAAGTATTTTGGATAAAGGATCGTCAATCTGTACCAATCACTAAGTACTTTATTAGTGTTATTTTATTTATTATTTACCAAAGTCTATGGATCAAGTACTATTTTTACCATCTCCATTTTTTGGTGAGGAAATACGGGCTCAGAGATATTATTCTTATTCTAGAGAAACTTATTCTAGAGAAACTTAATGATGCTATGCTCATTATTTTATTTTTAAAAAAATATTTATTAAAAAAAGTAGAAATGGAGTCTCATTATATTGTCCAGGCTGGTCTCAAGCTCCTGAGCTCAAGTGATCCTTCCACCTCAGCTTCCCAAAGTGCCAGGATTACAGGCTTGAGCCACCACACCTGGGCTATGCTCATTATTTTTAAATCTGTTCCTTCCCCCCCCCCCCCACCCACTGAATGTGAATGTTTTCTTAAATTAGACAGCTTCTACAAGTGTGATTTTTAATGGCTACATAGCTGAGGTTGACTGTTTGGGTATTTAATGAACACAACGCAGCTTGAAGTAGTAATCGTTTTTTGTTCCGTAGTTAGAATCAGTTCTCATTCTACTACTTACTAGTTCTGTAGTTACGGACAAGTTTAACCATAGTCAAGTTACCTTTGTCAGCCTTGGTTTTCCTATCTAGAAAACAGAAACAATAGTAGCTTCCTGAAAATGTTATTGTGATAATTTGATAAGAGATTATGGAAAGAGCTGGATAAGATGTTTGGCTATAGAAGTAGCACAATATTGATTGTTTGATTGTTTTTGAGACCCAGGCTGGAGTATAGTGGTGTGATCATAGCTCGCTGCAGCCTTGACCTCCCTGGGCACAGGGCTCCTACCTCAGCCTCCTGAGTAGCTGGGACTACAGGCACATGCTATCATGCCTGGCTAATTTTTATATTTTTTGTAGAGATGGGTTTTGCCATGTTGCCCATGCTGGTCTCAAACTCCTGAACTCAAGTGATCTGCCCACCCCAGCCTCCCAAAGTGTTAGGATTATGGATATGAATCACTGCACCTAGCCACAATAACTGTTAATACCCTGTTATTCTCAACTCACTGTGAATAATTTACACTCTTATTTTTTTTCTTTAAGCAGAAAATCATAATTTGCCAAAAGATAACCCTCTAAACAAAAACTATGGGTGCTACATTATGGTTGAGGTTATTGATTAATACTTAAAAATGAAGTGCTCTACCAGAATTCTCCAACTTTATCCTACAATGGATTGTATCTACTTAGTTTATCATAGGAGAAGTCAGCGTTGTGTAACTCTGCAGTAGGTGGGGTTGCAACAATTTATTAAGCAACTTCTAAAGAAATTGATTCTATATACAGTGATAAAAATTAAACTCTTTGGGCATGAAGCCCAGTAAAAATAGCCAAAAATTGGCCGGGCGCGGTGGCTCAAGCCTGTAATCCCAGCACTTTGGGAGGCCGTGGCGGGTGGATCACGAGGTCAAAAGATCGAGACCATCCTGGTCAACATGGTGAAACCCCGTCTCTACTAAAAATACAAAACATTAGCTGGGCATGGTGGCATGTGCCTGTAATCCCAGCTACTCAGGAGGCTGAGGCAGGAGAATTGCCTGAACCCAGGAGGCGGAGGTTGCGGTGAGCCGAGATCGCGCCATTGCACTCCAGCCTGGGTAACAAGAGTGAAACTCCGTCTCAAAAAAAAAAAATAAAAAAATAAAAATAAAAAAATAAAAAATTAAAAAAAAAAAAAAGCCAAAAATTTCTTCCTTAAAAAGAAGACCTTCTGATGGTGCAGAGTATACCAGTTAGTTTAGAATATGCTTGTAAAGAAAAAAGAATGTTTCTTGAAGAAAGCAGCAGGGGGCTCTGAGTGTTTCTCCACTGTTGCCATGCAGTCACTAATAACAGGCATAGTATACTTCAAATAGGGTACATAATTTACAATCTGGCATTTATTCAGAAAAGCCTTTTCTCTAACTTTATGGCAAATAAGGATTGATATAAAAGGGCTGAAATGAGCCTTCTCCATGTATAACTAACCTTTAAGCAATGACTTGTAATTGTGTTTCTGCTGAAACTAGATTGTTTCCCAAGTTCAATTAAGATGTGGGGTTTTTCTTTAAGAAATGTGAATGGAATGTAACCAGTAACAGTATCCTTACTCATGTATTGGGTTACATGGAGTCAGAAGAAATAGTATCCTGATTAGCTTGATATGGCAAGTTAGACTGGTAAATCTCTATGATGAAGATGCTGCATCAGGCTGTCACAGTATAAAGATAGTATCTGTCAATTATTAATTAGTGGTACATATTATAATGCCCTGGGAAGCTCTTTTTAAAATTATTATTATACTTTAAGTTCTGGGGTACATGTGCAGATCATGCAGGTTTGTTACATAGGTATACATGTGCCATGGTGGTGGTTTGCTACAGCCATCACCCCATCATCTACATTAGGTATTTCTCCTAATGCTATCCCTCCTCAATCACCCCACCCCCTGCTATTCCTTCCCTATCCCCCTAGCCCCCAAGCCACGGTGTGTGATGTTCCCCTCTGGGAAACTCTTAAAATTATACTAGTCCAGGTCTTAACATTTATGTATTAATTCAGAGTTTGTGAGAGTAGGAACCAGGCATGAAAAATTTTTAAAAGCCTTCTCAAGTGATTCTAATATGTGTTCTTGGTTAAGAACTTGTGCATTAAGATTGCCCATCCTGGCCAGGGGCAGTGGCTCATGCCTATAATCTCAGCACTTTGGGAGACTAAGGTGGGAGGATTGCTTGAAGCCAAGAGTTTGAGACCAATCTGGGCAACATAGGGAGGACCTGGTCTCTTAAAAGCAAAAGATCACCCATATCCCTGTATTCTGATTTATACCAGACAACCTTCTGCTAGTGATTTGACTTTCCCTGGGGATGTTCTTTCATAGGACAGAATGCATATGCATAGATCAATTGGTTTAAATAGACCGGTCTCATTTATAGGTCAATAAATTTTCATTCTGACCTATTCAGTCTCTTAATTTGGTTAATATGAATAATTTCTTTAGAGCTTAAGCATATTCAAGTTTCTGAAGATGAAAAACTGTATACTAGACCCTGGGCCTGTGGTCCTTTGATGATCTTTCCAAGGTGTAGGCAGAGCTAACCCAAAGCAGCCAGCAACTATTTCTTTCTACTCATATGTCCCAGTGATAGAAATATCTTAGAGTTCCTAGTTTTAATCAAATGACTATACCTAAATATTGATATGGTTTGACATTAAGCCAAATTAAAATTAGTAGTTTGTGCCCAGCATTTTTATACATTTTACATAAGATTCACTGCCCTTAAGATGTTTCTGGTATTACTTAAGAGGGAGTGCAACACACAGGAAAACATTTGTGAAGTATAAAAAAGTAATTCAGTCTTGAACAACCCTGGGGTTAGGGCTGACCCCTGCATTCATTGTTGAAAATCCCTTTATAACATGTATGACTTTTGATTCCCCCAGAACTAAACTATGAATAGCCTACTGTTGACCAGAAGCCTTACCAGTAACATAAAGTCAGTTCACTCATATTTTGTATATTATATACTGTGTTTTTACAGTAAAGTAAGCTATAAAAAGAAAATTTTAAGAAAATCATAAAGAAGAGAAAATATATTTATTATTCAATAAGTGCAAGGAGATCCTCACAAAGCTCTTCACATTGAGTAGGCTAAGAGGAGAGGAGGCAGAGGAGGGGTTGGTCTTGCTGTCTCAAGGGTGGTGGCAGAAGTGGGAGAAAATCTGAATGTAAGTAGACCTGCATAGTTCAGACTCATGTGTTCAGGGGTCAACTGCATATCATTAACTGCTCAATTAGATAAGGTCAAAGCTGAAGTGTACTGTGTAACCATAAGGGTTAAGACTCAGTGCAAACAGGCTATGAAAAATCAGGTAGAATTTGCACTGGGTCCTCAAGTATTTATAGGATTGGGGTAATTGAACAAAATGAAAAAGCATTCCAGACAAAGGGTATTGGTTGAACAAAGTTTCAAAAACAGTGATAAATCTAGTAAATATGGGAGAGAGTGAAGAGATCTGCCAATTCTAGTAATTTAACCAAAAAACTGGTATAGTCATGAATATCTCTGATCTCTAGTTATATGTTTACATATAGGCTAGCCAGTTTTGGAGGGGGAATTTCAGAGGTGCTGATAATCACCTTGGAATAAATTTATTCTAAAACTATTGGTGAAATAAAAACCATTGTTGTAAGAATAAATTTCTCTGTTAATTTATTGATGAAGTTCTTCCTTTTTACAGAATAAACTGGTAAGATTAAGTAAATGATTGTGCTTGTTTTTGAATGTAACCTGTGAGGTGTTGTATGAAGCCCACAGTTCAGGAAAGAAAACTTATAGTGAGGGAAGGAAAGAGAGGAACAGAGAAAAAGATGTATCAAAGATGCAAAATATTAGGGTTTTGGAGAGGATGGATTTTGTATCATCATTTGCCCTTTATTTCTCTCTCCTTTCTTTGTCTGCTTCTACCTTCTGTAGTTACATGTGGGAAATATTAATACTACACTTGTAAAGTGAAGGTAGCAGGCATTATGAGCTGCATTAGAACTGCTCTGAAAGTAACTCAGTAGAATGCATGTTACCTTTTTAAAAAAATGATCAAATCATTACCTATAAAGATTTACCTAACAGTTTTTTGGGCTTTTCAGACAGCTGTTAATCTTTCCCTTTTTCCCTCCGTAATTTTAGCATTTTCCCCTCCTAATTAAAAAACACAAACATGAGCCAGCATTAACAATCATCCTTTTGAATAGGAAAAAGAATGTAGCTCAACTTGTGATAAAAATGAAGAAAAGAGTCTATACAAAGGCTTGCTAAGTGTGTTTCCTGCCGACTACAACCCTCTCCTGTTTACTGAAAAGGAGTCAGGAAAACTACAGGTGCTGTCAAAGCTCTTAGCTGTTATCCATGAACTTCGACCTACTGAAAGGTAAGATCAATTTAACAAACTTGGCAAGTGCTCATGGAGTTTTGGTTTGCACTATGTCTTTACTTTCTACTTCCCTTTAAAAAAAAGAAAACATTAAAAATAAGTTGTTTTCTTCTTTGGGAATATGATTAGCTCCCAGTATTTCGTAAACTTGTGATTAACAATGTGTAAGTTTTCAGAAAAACTAAACATATGTATACTTTTAAAAACCTAGTGATATTTTCTGATGTATAAGGCTTGTTTCTCAATTTTCTTTGGAGTCCTTTCTTCTTTTACTATTTCTTAAATATTGATACAGCTTAGGATCTTCTCTTTAACTTTCTCATTAGTAACACACTTCCTGAGTGCTCTACTCCCTGTACTTTCAACTATTAAGTGCGTGCACACACACACAGGACCATACCATGTCCTGTGTGTATGTGTACATTTTTTTTTAATCAAATGACTATATATATTTTATATCTTCTTGGATACGAAACCCATATGATATTGAAACAAATTTATATCTCCAGTTCTCTCTTCTAATTAATACATCTTTATTTTTAAGTGTTGAATGGATATCTAAATCTATCTTGATGTCCTGTAGTAAGCTTCCCATGACCAAAACCATGTGACAAAACCATCATTTTGTAATTGCAAGCCTGAGCTTGTCCTATTATTCCTTGTACCAGAATGCAAGCAAAAACCCTGGAAATTACTATAGACTCACTTTTCCTCTTCACTTATCTCACTTTGTCAGTCACTCAATTCTATTGATTTTGTTTTTTAATTTCAAGAATCCATCCTTCTTTTTCTGGTACCAAGATTTTTATTTTGATTCTTAAAATTACTGATTTGGGTTACGCTGGTCTTTTGTAAACTACTTTCCTCTTACTTTCAGCCCCCTGACATACTCAACATTGCCCTAAATTATATCTCTAAAATATAAATATGAGCATCTCACTCCTTTTCTTAAAAAATCATTCGAAGACTCCCATTTATCTTCCAGAAATTTTAAATTCTTTAGCACATTAGGCAAGACTCTTTGTGATATGGTTAATGCCTCCTTTCCAGCCTTATCTCTCATCACTCCTTCACACATACCATGTGGTCCAGTCATACCAAACCACCTGCAGAACCTGTAATTTGCCCCACTTCTGCTCTGCTGTTACATGTCGCAGGTTTCTATGCCTGGCTTACCTTCGCTTCTCTTTCTTCTGGCCAACTTTTTCTCTTTGTTAAGTCTCAGCAGACCAAGTGCAGTCACTTATACTTATAATCCCAGAGCTTTGTGTGGCTAAGGTGGGAGGATTGCTTGAGGCCAGGCATTGGAGTCCAGCCTAGGTTACAGAGTGAGACCCCTTTTCTGCAACAACAAAAGACTTAGCTCACATGCTTTCTCCTCTCTTGGATTGAGTTTGATTCCCCTCCTCTGTACTCTCATAACATCTGTACCAATGGAGTGCTTCTCACATGTTTTATTAGATAATATTTGGTGTGTTCAAAAGGGCATGTGAGATGTATATATGCAGATTGTGACCCAGTTTGAGTACAAGCATGCAAATTTTCACTTCAGCTTCTGTTTATATCTTACTCTTATCTTCTTACTATTTTTTTTAACTGGATCTTTTTTTTCTCTCTTCTCTGAAGGGTGGGCAAGATAGGTGGTTGTTATTGGACAAAGGATAATGAGTGAAAAGAGTTTCAGGGGAAATGAGAAGAGATGCAGTTTGAATATAGGTGTGAGAATTTATCTTTGAAGATGTCATAGGGAAAAGTTTCCCTCTTGTGGCAAGAAAGAAGAAAGGAATGAAGAAAAATATAATGATTAAGAAAAATAAAAATATTTGGGGATTGAAGTTGGGGTGGTCTTTTTCTTTTCCTTGAGACAGGGTCTCGCTCTGGGGCACAGGCTGCAGTGTAGTGGTGCGATCTCGGCCCACTGCAGCCTTGACCTCCTGGGCCCAAGTGATCTCCCCATTTCAGCTTCCCAAGTAGCTGGGATTACAGGATGTGCCATCATGCCCTGCTAATTTTTGTGTTTTTGTAGAGATGGGGTTTCACCATGTTGCCCAAGCTGGTCTCTTAACTCCTGAGCTCAAGCCATCTGCCCACCTCAGCCTCCCAAAGTGTTGGGATTATAGGTGTGATGGTCATTTTGACTGCTTGTGGGTCCCTAAGAAACCTAAACACTGCCATGTTTCATTGAAGGAGAAGCTACACTTTCATAAGTGGCACAGGCTGGGTCTTTGTTCTGTTGCTTCACATTATCTGAAGAGATGACCTTTTCTTTAAAAAAAATTGTGGTAAAATACACATAACATAGAGTTACCATCTTAACCGTTTTTGTGTGTATAATTCTGTCGTGTTAAGTACATTCACATCCTGGTGCAATCAATGTTCAGAACTCTTTGCATCTTATAAACAAAACTGAAATGCTGTATCTATTAAATACCAGCTCCTTACTTTCCCCTCCCCTAGCACCTGGACTACCCTTCTACTCTCTGTCTCTGACTATTCTAGATACCTCATATAAGTGGAATCACATAGTTTTTTTCTTTATGATACTGACCGATTTCATTTAACATCATGTCTTCCAGGTTTATCCATCTTGTAGCATGTGTCAGAATTTCCTTTTTTAAGGCTAAACAATATTCCATTGTATGTATATACACATTTTGTTTATCCAGTCATCTATTGATGAACTCTTAGGTTGCTTCCGCCTTTTGGCTCTTATGAGTAATGTTGCTGTGAACATGGGTGTACAAATAACTTTTCAAAACCCTGCTATAAATTCTTTTGGATATAAATCCAGAAGTGGAATTATTGGGTCATATAGTAATTCTATTTTTAATATTTTGAAGTACTGCCACACTGTTTTTCACAGTGGACTGCACCATTTTCATTTCGACCAACAGTGTATAAGGGTTCAAATTTCTCTATATCCTTCCCAACTTTGTTGTTTTCTATTTTTTGGATAATAGTCATCCTAGTGGGTGGGAGGTGGTATATCATTGTAGTTTTGATTTGCATTTCTCTAATGATTAGTGATATTGAGCACCTTTTAATGTGCTCTTTGGCCGTTTACAGTTTGTCCCCCCATCTTATCCTTGGGAGTACATTCCAAGACCCCGAGTGGATGCCTGAAACCACAGATAGTACCAAACCCTATATGGATTATTTTTTCTTATACATACATACCAGTAATAAAGTTTACTGTATAAATTAGGCACAGTAAGAGATTAACAACAATAATAATAAAATAGGACAATCATAACAGTATAGTATAGTGAAAGTTATGTGAATGTGCATTCTCTCTCTCTCTCTGAAAATCTCTTACTGTGTGTAATGTTTTATTTTGTTTTGTTTTTTCTGTGTGTAACATTTTTGAACGAAGGTTGACCATAGGTAACTGAAACAGTGGAAAGCAGATCTGCAGATAATGGGGTACCACTGTGGTCTCTAAGTGTCTCTATATTTTCTTTGTCTCTCCTCTGTGAGACCTCTGTCTTCCTGCTACAGTTTGAACTGATCTCTAATCTTGCTGCATAGCGGTCACCCTGGGACTTTTAAAAAGCCATCCCCTAGTGAAAAAAAAAAAATAAGAAAATTGCTAGGTACAGTCCGAAAAAAGTGAGAAAAAAAGAAAAAAATAAGGAAAAAAAAAAAGCCATTGCCTATGCATTAGTCTGTTTTCACACTGCTATAAAGGAATACCTGACATTGGGTAATTTATAAAGGAAAGAAGTTTTAATCGACTCACAGTTCCACTTGGCTGGGAGGCCTCACGAAACTGTAATCATCGCAGAAGACAAAGGGGAAGCAAAGACCTTTCACAGGGCGGTAGGAAAGAGCGAGCTAGCAAGAGCAGGAAAAACTGCCTTATAAAACCATCAGATATAGTGAGAGCTCCTTTGCTTCATGAGAACAGCATGTGGGAAACCACCCCCATGATCCAGTCACCTCGAACGTGGTCCCTCCTTGAACACGTGGGGATTATGGAGATTACAATTTGAGATGAGATTTGGGTGGGAACACAGAGCCAAACCATATTAACTTATAAATTTGTTTTTCTTCTCTTCTGTGTTAGATTTTCTGTCTTCTGAATATCACATTTTGTTGGAGCACATCTCATAGTAGTTTCCTAAGAAAGAAAGATGGGAGATTAATCTTTTTTGACTTCTTGGGGATCTGAAACTGTCTTTATTCTACCCTACCACTTGACTGACAACTTCTCTGGTTATAAACTTCTAGATCAAAACAGTATTCCCCTAAAATTTTGAAGACATTGCTTTATATGTTGTCTTCAAGTTTTTAGAGTTGCTTTTGAGAAGTCTGATGATTTTCAAATTTCCATTCATTTGCATGTAACCTATTTTTTCTTCATCAAAACTTGAGCCACTTTAATTCATTCTTCCTCCTTTGAGTTATAATCTTGATATGCCTTAATATGAGTTCTTATTTTATTCATTGAGCTGGCAACCTTTTAGTAGGTCCTTTTTATCTGAAGGTTCCATGTCTGGTAAATATCCTTTCTCTCTCTTACAAAAATTTCTTGTTTTCTTTGGAATTCTTGTGAGATGTTGAACCTCATGAATTGATTCTCTGATTCTCTCCTATTGGTCATCATTATTTCTTCTTCTTCTTCTTCTTCTTCTTCTTCTTCTTTCTTCTTTCTTCTTTCTTCTTTCTTTCTTCTTTCTTTCTTCTTTCTTTCTTCTCTTTCTTTCTTTTTTTTCAACAGAGTTTTCTTCCTGTTGACCAGGCTGGAGTGCAGTGGCACAATCTCAGCTCATCACAACCTTCGCCTCTTGGGTTTAAGCGATTCTTCTGCCTCAGCCTCTGGAGTAGCTCGGATTACAGGCATGTGCCACCACACCTGGCTAATTTTGTGTAATTAGTAAAGACAGAGTTTCTCCATGCTGGTCAGATTGGTCTTGAACTCCTGACTTCAGGTGCTCTGCCCACCTCGGCCTCCCAAAGTGCTAGGCTACAGGCATGAGCCATCGCACCCAGCTCATTTTTTCTTCTTAATATATTTCCTGACAATCTCTATTGTTACTATCTTCTAGCTTTCCTGTTAAAGCTTTACTTTGTCTATCATTTTAAATTTCTAAGATATTTTTCTAATTCTTGATTGTTCCTTTTGAAAAATTGCATTCTCTTCCACTGAATAATAGCTCGTTTGAGGCCATTAATTATTTTCTGAAAGTTGTCTTCTGTTTTTTTAATTGCTCTGTTTAATTCATGTTTCTTTCTTGTTTATTTTAAGTTTTCCTTCTCATGTTGAGGCTCACTTCAAATAGCTGGTGTTCCTTGGTGTCCACAGTTAAGAGTGAAGCAGTAAACCATTAATTGAAGACTGTATACATAGGCAGGGCTCATTGACTGGTAACCATCATTGGGTAATTGGGTGGCAAGGTGGCTTTTTAATTTGAGGACTCCCTATCTGTGGATCTTTTCTGTGGAACCCTTTAAGTCTTTCCATAGATGAATCCTTTCGTAATATCTTCCTTGGGCTGGCATGTGGGGTGCTGGGCTGCTGTTGTTCTGGTAGTTGGCAGGCAAAGGGGAGAGAGATCTTATTTGGTATCTAGACTTTCATTAACAATTTTTTTTAAGACAGGGTCTTGCTGTATTGTCCAGGCTGGACTGAAACTCCTGGATTTAAACGATCTTCCTGTTGCAGCCTCCTGATGAGCAGGTGCTAAAGCTATATGCTACTACATTGGCTCTTCTGCCTTCTACAGTCAGTTCCCTGGTCTAAGTTTCTTTGGTTTATTTTCTCCAGAGAATAAATATTTTATTTGAGAAAGAAAAGTCTGCTGATCACATGGGAGCAGGGCCTGGGTTCTATGTACCAGTGTTGTAATAGCTTCAGTCTAAACTCCTTCCTTCTGAGGTACCTTAGCAAGATTCTGTGATGCAAATGAACTTTCATTTGTTTCTTATTGGAATTTCCCTTTTTGGGCACCTAGGTGTCACTTTTTGTATACTCCTAAGCAGGTGACTACTTCACTATGCTTTCTGTTTCCAGATATCTTCAGAGTTAGTGTTTCTGTTCATTTTTGTATTTTGCTTATTCTCTTGATATTTTTAGAGTGACCTCAGAGAGATGAAGAAGGCAGAAAAGTCTTTGCTTCACTATCTTAAAACCGGAAGTTTAGATATTGACTTTAAAATGGAATATGTAGAAATACCTGTGTTTTAATTGTACAAGGTCATTGTTGCATACTCTCTAAATGTCACTGATAATATTATTGTGGTATTTTCTTTCAACTGTGACAATCTAAAGCTGTCTTTAAATTATATCTAAAGAATCTTTATTTTTGATTGACAGGGTGGTGTTGGTATCCAACTATACACAAACCTTGAACATTTTACAAGAAGTATGTAAGCGTCATGGATATGCTTATACAAGACTTGATGGACAAACACCAATCTCTCAAAGGCAGCAGATTGTTGATGGCTTTAATAGTCAACACTCTTCTGTTTTTATTTTTTTGTTAAGTTCAAAAGCTGGTGGTGTAGGACTTAACCTTATTGGAGGATCTCACTTAATTCTTTATGATATTGATTGGAATCCAGCCACTGATATTCAGGTAGGAATATTTATGCATTAAATAGATATTATTGAATGCCTGGGAATGCAGTGCCTATTGAGGATACAAAATGATGATGATAGATAATAACCACTGCATAAAGAGCCCTTATTTTGCATGAAGCACTCTGCTAAGTGCTTTTCATCTATTTAATATTCCTAACAAGCCTACAAGGGTGGATATTAATAGTCCCATTTTACAGATGAAAATATGAAAGCTTGTTCTAGATCCCACAGCTTGTAAGATGCAGAGCCAGGATTCAGACCTAAACCTGTATGTCTCCAGGTTCTAGTTTACTGCAGACTTAGGCCTTTAGGATGTTCATGACCATCAGGTGAAGACAATAAAGTGTTGTGGATGCTGTGATTAGTGTTTATGCAGGCTACAGTAAGGGTATAAAAAATAACATATTTAGGAAAATACTTGAGAAGCCTTTGGTTTTCTTTAGAATACCATCCATCCTTTTGTATCTTGAGTTTTCTATCTGTAGGTTTGCACCTCAGTTATGTGCATTAGGGGATCCCAAGACAACCCTCAGGTTTAATGGTTCACTAGAAGGACTCAACAGAATTGGAAAAAGAAGCAATACTCACAGTTACGTTGCATTATAGTAAAAGATACTCAAATCAGTAAGGACAATGTGCTGGGTTCAGGGCAGAGTCCAAGAGAGACCAGGCACAAGCTTCCAGTTGTCCTCTCCCAGTGGAGTTTTATAGACAACACTGAATTCTCTCAGCATTGGTGAGTGACAATGCATATGGAATATTGTCAACCAGGGAAGTTCACCCAAGTCTTGGTGTCCAGAATTTTTCTTTGGGGTCAGTCCTGTAGGTATGCATGACTGATCTTAGTTACTCAGTCTTCAGCCTTCCAGAAATCAAACCACATGGCCCAAGGCCCCACCATATCACATTGTTAGCATTAACTCTCTGGTCTGGCCCAAGGCTTCTGGTAAACAGACACTCATATCAGGCAGGACATTCCAGGAGCCTAAAGATGATCTCTTAGAGGTAGGTTGAAGACCAGATTCTTGTTTGAAATGTGCAGGGTTTGAACATTAACACTTTACTGCACAGCATCATTGATAAATCTTTAAACCGCAAGGATCCACCTAGAGCCTTAGCTGATTACATGTATCCTAGGTACTTTTCAGGGGCAAATCTTTAGCTATTTGGACTGAGAGTGAACCTCCATGCCCATGCTACACTTGGTTCTTTGTGTCTTGCTGTCCATACTCGCTGTACCATTGATGAAGATACATCCTCTCACTGTTGAATGATACCCCTGTAGTTATTTTACCATATTGAGTGTTCACTCAACCCTTTCTTTCTGCCAAGAAAAAGATATGCAGTAGGACATGCTTGGCGCACCTGTAACCCTATATATGTAAAATATAGAATTTCTAATTTTAAAACATATTTCTGCAAATTGCATATGTGGAAAGGGCCATCAGTTTCTACTGTACTCTCAGAATTCTCACTTATTTTCTATAGGCAATGTCCAGAGTATGGAGAGATGGTCAGAAACATCCTGTACATATTTACAGACTCCTAACCACAGGTAACAACCCTTCAGTATGACCAAAAATGTATACCCTTTGAATAATTAAAATTATTTTTTGTTAGTCTGTGCTTCAGTGTCAGGAATATATTGTTATTTTGTTAACTAGTATGTTAATAAACATTTTACCCAACAAAAATAGTGAACATAAAGATCTGAAGGAAATCTAATGAATATTTTCTCTTTAGGTACAATAGAAGAAAAGATCTATCAAAGGCAGATCAGTAAGCAAGGTCTTTGTGGGGCAGTTGTCGACCTCACTAAGACATCTGAACATATTCAGTTTTCACTAGAAGAACTTAAAAATTTGTTCACATTGCATGAAAGTTCACCTTGTGTTACTCACGACCTGCTTGACTGTGAGTGTACAGGAGAAGTTCATACAGGTTAGTTGTATTTTAATTCTGTTATTATGTAGTGAAGTTAATTTACCTCTCTTTAGCAGTTGAAAATACTTAAAGAATAACTTTATAATATTTACCAGTTGCATATGTTAGTTTCATTTTTTCTTAGCTCATAGGGCAGCTGCCAGATAGAGATATTTGAGAAAATATTCAATAGAATCTATTCTCTCAATTTTAGCTTTTTATTTCTGAATCACTTGTGAAAAATTGAACTTATTTAGGAAAATCTTTCAATTCCTCGTGTAACAGCTTTGGAGATAGGAAAAAAGAATTTTTTTTTTTTTTTTTTTTTTTTTTTTGGTGACAGGGTCTGGCTCTGTTACTGCCCCACCCAGGCTGGAGTGCAATGATGCAATCATGGTTCACTGCAACCACCGTCTCCTGGGTTCAAGTGATCTTCCAGCTTCAGCCTTCTGAGTAGCTGGGACGAATGGTGCGCACCACCACACCTGGCTAATTTTTGTTTTTTTGTAGAGATGAGATTTCTCCATGTTGCCCACACTGGTCTGGAACTCCTGGGCTCAAGCGATCTGCTCACCTTGGCCTCCCAACTGCTGGGATTACAAGTGTGAGCCACCGCGTCCAGCCAGAAAAATAGTTTTAATTCCTGTTTCTCTTTCACAAAAAGCATACACTTGACAGAATAATCCTGTTTATGTTGTACAGAATTTATTCACAATGGGGTCATATTTTCTGAGGCACTCAGAAGCATGGGTCACCATAATTTCTCAATACTTGATGTAACTGCTAGTGCTGCTTAAGCAAAGCTGAAAATTCACTCTCTAGAGTAGACTCTATTCAAAAAGGAACTAGATCAGGAGTAGGACTTGAGCAAGCAATGTCTAGTAGTTGAAAGTTACTTGATAAAGTATATTAAGGTAGGTTGAAGAAGTTAGACTATATAAGACTGACATGGAACAATTTAGATTAAACACACAATATGTTTTCTATAAATGTTATATGTCATATAATAAATATGCACAATAATATATAATTATAACTATATAATATTTATAGTGGTTAAACTATGTATATATTTTTATTTTTTAGTGGGTAGAATTTAAACTTCAGAGGAATGTTTTCAGATTTTCTCTCTCTTCATAGCCATTTTGGTAATTAAAAAATTAATTAACACTTGATTCTATTAAATTATTTTCTATTTTAATAATTTCTCTTCTCCTTTTTCCTTATATTTACTCTAATGTTATTTTTCTAATATTTAAGCTTAATACTTAGCGTGATGATTTTTCAGTCTTCTTTTCAAAGAAGTGGATATTTAAGACCATATATTTTCCTCTAAGCTGCCCATAATTTTGATATACAGTCTTTATTCAGTTCTAAATATTTGTTTTTCATTATGATGTCCTCTTTGACTCATGAGTTATTTAAAAATATGTTTTAAAATGTATTTTAGTTTTTGTTACTGAATTCTGGCTAATGCTCTGTAGTCAAATCTACATAATATGGATTCTTCGTTAATTATAGAGACTTGGGGTATGGTTTAGTATGTAGTCATTTTTTGTAAGTGTTTCTTTTGTGCATGGAAATTAGGTATATCCTCTTAATTGCCTAGGGTAGAATTCTGTCATATTAGCCAGATTTTGTTATGTAATCAATTTTTTCTTATTTTATAGATTTCAAAATTTACTAATTTAACTTTTGAATTGGTAATATATGACTCAATTGTTTAAAAATATAAAATGTACATGGTGAAAACTCTTCCTCCCATTCTACCTTTATCTGCCTAATTTCTGGCCGTCTACATCAAAAGAAACCACCACTATTAGTTTTTTATGTATCCTTCCAGATTTTTATGTATGCATATGTAAGCAACTCTAGATATTTATTCTTGCCCAGTTTTTCTCCCAATAAATGATAGCATAGTATGTGTATATTTCTTTACCTTTTTCACTCAACAGCATATCTTGAGAGATCTTTCCCTATCATTACAGTTTCCTCATTCTTTTTCTTTGTCAACTGTATGATCTTCCAGTGTATAGATATATCATAATTTGTTTATCTATTCCCCACTGTATTAGTCTGTTTTCACACTGCTGATGAAGACATACCTGAGACTGGGCAATTTACAAAAGAGGGAGGTTTAATTGGCCTCAAAGTTCCACATAGCTTGGTAGGCCTCACAATCATGGTGAAAGGCAAGGAGGAGCAAGTCACATCTTACATGGATGGTGGCAGGCAAAAAGAACTTGTGCAGGGCAGCTCCCATTTTTAAAACCATCAGATCTTGTGAGACCCATTCGCTATCATGAGACCAGCCCAGGAAGGACTTGCCCCCATGATTCAATCATTTCCCAACAGTTCCCTCCCACGACATGTGGGAATTATGGGAGCTACAAGGTGAGATTTGGGTGGGGACACAGAGCCGAACCGTATCATCCACAGGTGTACAATTAGGTTTTTTCCAGTAAGTATGTATTTTATTCATATATTCTTTTAAATATCTTCAAGTATACCTATAAGGTAAATTTTTAGTATTGCTGGGTCAGAGAATATGTGCATTGGCAATTCTGATAGATGTTGCCAAAATGCCCTTTGTTGGATGTTGTGTCAATTTATATACCTCCAGAAATATACTAGAATGCCTATTTTCCCATAGCCTTACTCATTTAGTGGATTACCAAATGTTTGTATTTTTGCCAATTGGATAGTAAGAAAATAATATATTGGTATAGTTTTAATTTGCTATTCTCTTCTTACGAATGAGGTTGAGCATTTTCCTAAGTTTAAGAACTGTAGTTCCTTTATGTGAACCATCTCTTTATATTGTTTGACCATATAAAAGATTAACAACCTAATTTTTTGTTAGATGTATCTATTATTCGAAGAAATATGTTAAAATATGAAACTATGATAGTGGATTAGGCAAAATTATTATTTTATCATTTTCTGCTTCATGTATTTTATATCTTTCTTGTGAATTTTTTTTTCATTATGGTTTCTCTGTTTTATTGTTAGGTAGTGATTGCCTTATCTCTAATGTCTTTTGCTTTCATTTTTCTTAAGTTAACATATTACACTAGCTTTCTTATTGTTAGGGTTTGTCTGATGTACCTTTTCCCATCCATTTACCTTAAATCTCTCTGTGTTCTTATGTTTTAGGTATCTCTTGTCAGCAGCATAAAGCTGGATTTTATTTTTTGTCCAGTCTGATATTTTGTTTTAGTGAGAACATTTAGTTTGTTTGCATTTTAAGTTATCGATATATTTTTATTCATTTCTACTGTCTTTTCATTTTTTTGTTGTTTTTAACAAGAACTTAATACTGGCTAACTCTTAGTTAGCCAGAGATTTTTTGGTCACTACTTTGCAGGTATTATTCTATTGTCTTTTAATTTTTTTTTTCTTTTTCTTTTTCTTTTTTCTTTTCTTTTCTTTTTTTTAAATTTATCTGTCTTTTAATTTTTGAAGCAATCTTGTCATCTCTTTTCTTAAAACTTCAGTGATTATGAACACTGATAGGAATTTGATGATATTAAGGAATGACTTGAGGCTTTTCTTTTAGGTGTTATAAAATTTCAAAGAAGGCTTTATCTTTTAGAAATGTAGAATAAAATATTTATAAGTGAAATGACACATGCTATATATTTATTATATTTATTTGAAATTTCCCATAATTAAAAGGTTAAAAAAAAAAAAAACTCCAATAGCTTCCTATTGTTCTTAGGATAGATACCAAAATCTTTAAATTGGTAAATTAGTCAGGGTAGGCTAAATACTGTCACAAGAAATTTTAAAAGCACAATGGTCTAACAATAGAAATATATTTCTCATGTGTGTAACCGTGTAACAGGTCATTGTGGGCATTTAGTGGACAGCATTTCATAAGGTAATTTCATGATCCAGGCTTCTTCTACTTGGAGCTCCTCCATCCCTTTGGACCATAGAGTCCTCTGCTGGGTTCCCCTACATCTGTTGGCCAGCAGTGAGAGAAGAGATAATGTAGAAAGTTGTTCAGTTTGAAGGATGTTTATAGTTCAGACCTGGAAGTGACATAGCTGCATTCCACAGACCAGACTCAGTGGCAATATCTAACCATAAGGGAGGCTGGGAAAGGTGACTAAGTGCCATGGAGGAAAGAGAAATGGATTTAGTGAATAACGAGCTGGCCTCTGCCATTATGTTTTGTATAATCCAGCCCTTGAATACTTGCTTCACCTTACATTACTCAACTGCACTTGCATTATTCTTTGCCTTTACTCCATAGGCTCTAATGCATAGGCAGCCATCAATTGCTCAACTATGCCAGTATCCCTTCCTTTTCATAACTTTTTAATGTGCTTATGGTGGATGCTTTATCTCTCTTCCCCATCTAGTTCTTTCCTCCTCATCTTCAGATCTTAATAGAACAGTTCCTCATTGAATCCTTCACTTACCTTCCAGACCAAGTCAACTTCTCTTGTCCTGTGTAAGATAGTCTCCTGTATCTTTCCTTGATAACCCTTACCTTTGCAATTCAGCTCCGCAGTCCCTTATCTTCAATTCTGAAATCTAGAAAGCTTAAAAGGTTTTTTTTCTTCGTAATTTTGCAACAAAATTATTTGTGGCAAAATCTTACTTAAACTGATAGGAGTTTATCAATAGTCTTTATTTAACCCATTTTGTAAGACTGTTTATGACTTACTACAGAATGTTAATGAGTTTCATTATGGAATGCTGACCCAGATTATTTGAATTATATTCTGAATTTGGAAACATATTTCGCCCTATCATAGGCTTTAGGAAAGGGTTTTGAACTTGTAATACACTTTTTGGATGATTGTTTATTTAATGTATATCTCTCCCACTGGACTGTAAGGTTCTTGAAGTCAGAGACCATGCCTGTGTTTCTTCACCATTTTGCCTTTAGTGTTTAAATCAGCACATAGAAATAATTTATAAACATTTGTAAAAAGAATGAATTTGTTTTAACTTGAACCATGGTGATCAAATGTAATAAATTGTATCAATTCATTGTCATAAAACAAAAATGTATTGTATTTAGTAGGATATTGGCTTGCCTAAGAATTTTTTCATTGTTTTACTTATTGCAGGTGATTCGTTGGAAAAATTCATTGTCTCTAGAGACTGTCAGCTTGATCCACATCATCAGAAATCTAACTCCCCGAAACTTCTTTCTATGTCCCAGCTGAAGCAATGGAAACATTTTTCTGGAGACCATTCAAATCTTACAGATCCTTTTCTTGAAAGAATAACAGAAAATGTGTCATTCATTTTTCAGAATATAACCACTCAAGCTACTGCCACATAATGAACGATTACTTCATAACATTTTCTTGCTCTTCTTTTAAAAATTAATATGGTAATTAAATGTACTTTTTGAAAATTAATAGAATTATTTAAATTACAATGTATTTTGCAAAATACATCATAGTTTTGATACAGTAGTCAAAATTGAGTGGTTTAATTTTTTGTAAATATTGTTAAATACTGAAATGAAAAATTAAAGATGTGCTTCTATCATCATATAATTGTTAATAATTCCTTGAGTAGTGCACTTTTATTAAGTATCTGCTGAGAAATTTTTATAAGGAGGAGCAAAGAAATATGAAAAGGTAAAATTCTTAGTCTCTGTCTTTGGGAACACTAATCCGATTAGAAATATTAGACAGATGTTTGAAACAACTGAAAACTTGGTAAGTTTAAAATGTAGCTTAAAGGAGAAAGAGAATGAGAGGCTATGATTGCAAATGCTAAAGATGTTGGATATAATAGTTGCCGCAGGGCAGTTTGAGTGAGAAAAGTCAGTAGGTTGGTGCAGGAGATGAAAGATTTGGGAACACTTTAGAGCACTAGTTCCTAGTTTGGGAGCTCAGACTTATGCAGTCTATAAAGCCATGTCCACCAAATACTGTTTATGCACTGAATAAAGGTTCAACTACCATCATTTAAGGGTTATCTGGAGTAACTTTTGACATTGAAAGGAGAGTTGTAGCTGTGGGCAGTGGCTCCTGTTTGTAATCCTAGTTACTTAGTAGGTAGAGGCAGGAGGATTGCTTGAGGCCAGTAGTTTGAGACTAGCCTGAGCAACATAGTAAGACCCTGCCTCTAAAAAATAAACTTATCCAGGTATGGACGTGCATGCCTGTAGTTCCAGCTACTTGGGAGGCTGAGGCAGGAGGATTGCTTCAGCCTAGTAGTTTGAGTTTATGGTGAACTATGATTGGATATGATCCAATGTCCATCCTGGGACCCCATCTTCAAAAAAAAAGAGGTTTTAATGTACAAAGCAAGCTTTAGAAGACTGAAGCCTACAAAAAGGAGTTACTAATTTAATCTCCAATTGGGACTTCTATAATCAGCTTTTGTTTTCATTTAGGAAAATTTCTTTTAGACTGAAAATACAGGCCTACCCTGGAGATACTGCAGGTTTGGCTACAGATCACTGCAATAAAATGAATATCACAATAAAGCGAGAAACAAATTTTTTTTTGGTTTCCCAGTGCATATGAAAGTTATGTTTATATTATACTGTAATCTATTAAGTATGCAATAGCATTATGTCTGAAAAATGATGTATTTAGCTTAATTTAAAAATAATTAGCTAGAAAATGCTAATGGTCATCTGAGACTTTAGTGAATTGATGTCTTTTCTTTTTTTTTTTTGAGATGGGGTCTTGCTAGAGCCCAGGCTGGAGTGCAGTGGTGTGGTCTTGGCTCGCTACAACCTCTGCCTCCTGGGTTCAAGCAATTCTCCCTGCCTCAGCCTCCCAAGTAGCTGGGATTACAGGTGCCCCGCCCCAATGCCTGGAATTTTTGTATTTTTAGTGGAGATGGGTTTCGCCATGTTTGCTAGGCTGGTCTCAAACTCCTGAGCTCAGGTGATCTACCCGCCTCGGTCTCCCAAAGTGCTGGGATTACAGGCATGAGCCACCGCACCCGACCTGATATCTTTTTGCTGGTAGAGGGTCTTACAATGATGTCAGTGACTGCTGACTGATCAGGAACCTGGTGCAGATTGCTGGGGTGGCTGTGGCAATTTCTGAAAACAAGACAGCTGTGTTTGCCACATCAATTGACTCTTCCTTTCACAAAAGCTTTCTCTGTAACATGCGATGCTGTTTGATAATATTTTTCCCATAGTAAAAAGTCTTTCAGAATTGGAGCAGTCCTCTCAAGACCTGCCGCTGCTTTATCAACTAAGTTTATGAGTATTGTGAATCCTTTGCGGTTATTTCAACAGTGTTCACAGCACCTTCACCAGGAGTAGATTCCATTTGAAGAAACTACGTTCTTTGCTCCTGATCTGCTCAAATTTGGTCATGAGATTGCAGCAATTCATTCAACTCCTCAGGTTCGACTTCTAATTCTAGTTCTCTTACTGATTCCACCACATCTACGGTTACTTCCTTTACTGAAATCTTGAACTCCTCAAAGTCAATTATGAAAATTGGAATTAACTTCTTCCAAACTCCTCATAATATTGTTTATTGACATCCTCTCATGAATTGCAAATGGTGGATCCTTTCTAGAAGATTTTCCATTGACTTTGCTCAGATCCATCAGAGGAATCACTGTCTATATGGTCATAGCTAGCTTTACACAATGCAATCCTTACATAATATGACTTGAAAGTTGAAATTACTGCTTAACTCACATAATGCAAAATGGATATGTGTTAACAGGCATGGAAACAACGTTGATCTCCTTGTATATCTGCAGCAGAGCCATTGGATAACTAGGTGTCTTGTCAATGAACAGTAATATTTTTAAAGGAATCTTTCATTCTAAGCAGTAGGTTTCAACTTGGGCTTGAACTATTCAGTAACTCAGACTTGAAACAGATGTACTGTCACCCAGGCTTTGTTGTGCCATTTCTAGAGCACAGGCAGAGTAGATTTAGCATAATTCTTAAGGGCCCTGAGAATTTTGGAAGGCGACGTCAACCTAAAGTTACCAGCTGCATTAGTCCCAAACAGAGTCAGTCTGTCCTTTAAAGCTTTTATGTCAGACATCACTTATCTTCTCTAGTTATGGAAGTCCTAGCTGGCATCGTCTTTGAATAGCAGGCTGTTTCTTCTACATTGAAAATCTGTTGTTTAGTGTAGCCACCTCATCAATGATCTTAGCTAGATCTTCTGGATAACTTGCTGCAGCTTCCTCCATCAGCACTTGCTGTTCATCTTACACCTATATGATGTGGAGACATCTTCTTTCCCTAAATATTACACTAGCTTCAACCTCTTCTGCAGCTTCCTCACTTCTCTCAGCCTTTATGGAACTGAAGAGATTTAGGGCCTTGCTCTGGATTAGGCTTTGGGAATATTGTGGCTGGTTTGAAGTTCTTTCCAGGCCATCAGCACTCTCCATATCAGCAGTAAGGCTGCTTCACTTACCATTTTTGTGTTCACTGGAGTAGCACTTGTAATTTCCTTTAAGAGCTTTTTCTGTGCATTCAGAACTTCGCTAACTAATGCAAGAGTCCTAGCTTCGAGCTGTCTTGGCTTTCAACATGCCTTCCTCACTAAGCTTAATCCTGTCTAGCTTTTGACTTAAGGTGAGAAATATATGACTTTTCATTTCGCTTAACCACTTAGTGGCCACTGTAGTATTATTAATTAACGTAATTTCAATATTGTTATGTCTCAGGGAATAGGGAGGTCCAAGGAGAGGGTAACCACCAGTTGGTAGAGCAGTCAGAACACACATTTACTGACTGAGATTGCTGTCTTAGATGGGCATGAGTTACTGTGCATCAAAACAATGGCAATAATAAGATCAAAGATCACAGATAACCTGACAGATATAATAATAATGTAAAAGTTTGAAATATTGCAAGAATTACTAAAATGTGATACAGGCATGAAGTGAGCATGTTTTTGGGAAAAGTGTCACTGATTTGCTTGATGCAGCGTTGCCAGAAACCTTCAATTAAAAAAAAATTACAATATCTGGGAAGCACAATAAAATGAGGTATACCTGTTTTGTCTTGAGGTGTTAAATACTAAATTACATACAATCAAGGATGAATTCTTTTAATGTATAGTGCCATACCTGGATAGCTATATCTAGGATTCATGAACAGGCAGTTTGGGACCAAATTTGTCAGTGAGGAAGTAGCCAACTAATAACAAATAAAAATGGTGTTTCTTGGCCTTATTGTAGACTCCATGCATGAGGCTTTACATACAACTTTTCTTTTTTTAAAGAGAGGTTCTCACTATGTTGCCCAGGTTGGACTTGAACTAAAACTTTCAATATCTATCTTGCATCATATTCTTTTCATGCATAAAGTACTTTAAAAAATCGATAGAGGACAGGTAATTCTGCCTGTCATTTTTTAAAAAAATTATTTGTTTATTTTTCACATTCACACAGTTCCAGCCACTCTGCAACTGCTGCCTGTCTTAACTGTGGTGGATGCAAGGGTGTATTGCCCAGATTGCACCTTTCAGGACCAAGGAGCTTGTTTCCCCAGCTACAAGAAGGATCACCTATGGACCACTCATAGCCAAATTCTTACCCAAGATTAGCCCTTAGCTGAGAGGACCTGCCTTATCCAAGATTATGCTCCTTCCCTGGTTGGCCAACATTTGGTGACTGGTGGATCCTGGGTAGAAAGGGCTAATAACCTTATCTCAATTCAAGACAAATTTGTCAAAGGACCACTTCAGCTCTGTAGGTAAGGGTGCTGGGCCCTATTTTTATAGTAGATACTTGCTGTTCTCTATAAAGTTGTTTGCCAAGTAGTGTGGGAAGTAACCTTCCATCCATCTCTCTGCTCCACTCTGAAATCTTCCAGTATCCTGAATGAAAGTGATTTGCAGTAGAAATTTCAGGAGATACTGAACTTCATGGGAGAACCCATGTGACATGGAATAAAGAGCATTATGTGGCATGGGATCCCAGAGACTGAGAAGTACAGAAGACAGCCCTCTGGGAATTGAGAAAGAGTTTGGACTTTGACAAGGCAGGGATTTGTAGGGGTTTAGAGTCATTTTATCCGCATGTTAAGGGACCTTAACACCTGGTTTGCATATATAATGCAGCTTTTCTGTGAGAGATGCTTTTCATAAGAATCCCCTTCTCTATGCTCCCAGTCCATATGCTCAAGTGCACTCGCTCGCTCTCTCTCTCTCTCTCTCTCGGCTGAATTCTTTGAGGATGGAGATTTAATCTTATCCTAATATTCTCAGGACCTTGTATGGGACCTGGCATAGAACAGCTGTTTAGTAATTTAATAAATGAATGAGGTACTTTACCTCTTTACTTCTTTAACCACCTTGATCATATTTCTTGCTCGTAGATCTGTTTCAAGTATTTATTTCGGCCAATTGCTGAGCATGGAGCTGTGCTCAGCACTGAAGAAAGCAGAGCCAGCAGTTTTTTCTTGCCTCTGACAGGATCCAGACTTCCCTTTTTGCTTCTATGATTTGTCAATCTGCTACATGAGCTGACAGAAGCTGTCAGTGCAATGGGTAATAATTTAAGTTACATGCATAATTCATTTCTAATTACACAAAT